CCGGTAACACATTTCTAAGAGCAACCATCATATTGGTTTCTTTCGAGGGCTGCTTAGAAGCAAGCTGATGACTGTTTCGAGTTTCTGGCACTCAGGCTAAGATCAATTTATCATCGGAATGAATGAAAGAATCATGCAGAAGAGTTGGTGGCTGGTTGCTGCATTGGCCAAGTCCAATCCTTGATCATCAACCAAGAAGCGCAATGGTAGTACTCATCGAGGATTCGACTTGGTCAGTGCTTTTGCTAAATACGCATTTTTCACGAATTTCCATATAACTAATTTTAATATAATGTAACTATTTAAAATTAAACTCAAATTTACATCAATTACCACAATCGTCGTACTGACCGGGTCCAATTGTGGTAACGGTAAGAAATGTATACGACTTAATGCACCATTATAAAATTTTACTTTTACTAATTTCATAATATTATTTTTTCTTTTCTTTTTAAAATTTTAAAATACAAAATATTTCCCTATTACAAAGCCGCTCTTAATTGCACTAGCATCAAATATTAAGCATATATTTGCGCGCTAAATGCAAATTTTTACGAAATGACCAATGTCCACCTGCTGCGATTAATTATTATAAAAGAAAGATATTTGCCTCAATTATTCCCTCTCAGTGCAGGCAAATCTCTAATATTTTAGTTAGCTGTAACTCACAGTACCGCTGCCTCTTCCAGCTGTTTTGAGCAATGCTGAAACGCTAGATGGTCAGTTTTGGGCGATGCTTGCTGCATTCATTTTGACATTTTAGAAGCAAGGGAGAGGAAGGGGGGAGAAAAGAAATCAGTTCAAAAATAGGAAAAAATATTTCAGACATCATTTGAAGTTGTTATTTTAGATGCACAGGCGGAGAGAGGGGTTCAAAAATAGAAAAAAAAAAAATAAAAAAAAAACATTTTTCTCAATTCAGAAATAGAAATCAATTCAAAAATAGAAAAAATATTTTTCTCCAGAAATAATTTTTTATGATCAGCTAGCTTACCGATCAGTGGCTCAAGTTGCACAACACTTTCAACATTCTCGTTATCCACTTTTGTGAAACGTAACGAAGTAGCTTCGGCGAAACGTTTCGTTGTCAAAGCACGCCTTCGACACATAGCAATCAGTATGAATAGCGAGAAAAAGAATACTGCAGCAAGCACAAATAGTGCCAAATAAACAACAATTTCCATTCTGAAATTATGCCATTTTCCGTATATTTGCGCACCTGTAACGTTCGGGAGCACCTGGTCTGGACCTGAGCGGAAATGCGCTCAACACCAAACAACAAAACACCTCTTTATTAGTACAATGTCAAAAAAATTAAAAAAAAAAAAAAAAAAAAACAAACGACAAACTGTCAAATACCCGGCAGCAGCTCCAAACCACACACATCAGCACAACAAAAAAAACGATCCTCATTTTATTTCTCATCATTACATTAAATATCAAGGAAGGGGAACTTGAGTCAAGAGACAGGACATTTGCATATCACAGGGAACCGAAGGGCAACTGGGCAAGGCGAAGGGGGTTTAGCCTCCATCTTCGTTTTCTTGCTATTCGCTCCTTCTTCCTTTTGCAACACATCATTTACTACTATGAGATTAAAAGGTGGTACCTCACGGCGGCCTAGAAATGGCAAGTGTTCGAAAAGAAGTGGTGATGTTCAACACATATAAAAAGGAAATTTGGAACCAGTTAAAGCTTTGCCACCCATCGTTCTATGGAGAGAGTTATTTTGAGTTGGTGAAAGACGAGACGAGCGCCGGGATCAACAGTGCGCTGATCGCCAGGCGATTTAAAGCATCTTGGCTAAAAAAGCATCTGGAAAAGTTATGCGAGCTATACAAATGAAAAAACGACGCCACAAAATGCAGCTGATAAAATAATTAAAAAATAAAGATATACTGAAAAAAAATAGGATACATATAATAAAAATAGAAAAAATAGGATCATAGCAATAACAATAATAAAAATAACAATAATAATAATAACAATAATAATAATAATGATAATAATAACGATGATAATAATAATAACGATGATAATAATAATAATGATAATGATAATAAACGAAATCACAAATAGTATAATAATATAGTAACATTAGTGACAAGACAGATTACTAATTATAATCATAGTAATAACAATATTATAACAACAATAATTATCACTGCAGTTATTTTTCATTTTATAATTAAATATTACCTGCATATGGAATACTGATAAGCCGGGCTGTCTTGGTATTACTGGCTTATATGTATACATATATATATTTTTTCAGATTCCAAATCATTGTGATGCAATTGCCCCTTACGTGATTTCTAACAAAAGGCCATAAATCATTATGTGACACTAAATTTACTCCTGAAATGATATATATATATATATATATATATATATATATATATATATATATATATATATATATATATATATAA